GTTCCCCGGGGAGGTGCGGGCTCCCGCGGGTCGGCGGGCGCCGGGCGAGGTGCGTTTCCCTCAGAGCGAGGGCTGCCCGCCGTACCCCAGAGCCCGCCGCCTTTGGCGGGCTCCCGCCGCTCTGTCCCAAAACTCGGGAGCCCCGCGCTGCCTGGAAGAAGCGGGCGGCTGTTTCTTCCATCTCCCCTCCGGCCCCCTCTTTCTGGGGTTTTTTGGCGGCTGCCTCTTGCCCCGGCGCCGCTCTGTCCCCTGCGGCCGAGGGATGTCTTCCCCCTAGGAGCCTCCCAGCAGCAACTCCGAGGAAGTTTCTCACAGGCGCGAGTGCGCAGCACCTGTTGGTGACCGACGTGGCGGCTCCTTTGTTCGCCTTCGGAGCGGGACGGAGCCGGGGAGAGCGGGCGGCCCCGGCGGCGGGGCACGGCGGCTCCCCGAGGGCTCCGCCGTTGGCAGGGGAGAAGCCAGCTCGCTGGCAACAGGCAGCAGAACGCGGCTACGACAGGATAAAGATAAATCTAGCAGCGCGGCTCCGAGTCGGGGAGCGTTCAAGGAGATGCTTACAAATCATCGGGTGAGAGGGGCGCTCCGAAAACATCAACGCTGATGTAACACGAAGCCATGGCCACGCGTTTGTCTCACACAAGAGTTCACACCATCACAAACAATCCACACGCTTTACAAACAAATTGATCCTGCTGTGGAATTCTTCCTTAGGTGAGAAATGCTTTTTAGCATTTTCTTGCAAGGAAGGTGATGATTTATCATTTGTTTCATGTCCTGGATTTTTGCGCACATAGCTTGAGCATTACCAAGCTTAACATTGCACTTCATCCTGAGCTGCTTGGAAACGTTGATTAGAAGGAGGATGAGCTTCCCTGGTGTTTCAAATGATCCTATGCTCTCTTCCCTTTCCCCCTTTAAGTGAATCTGGGACTACTGGGCTAGGATTTCTTCTACTTTTAGTGCATGCTTAATGTCCCGAGTGGCTGCTTTGTGTCAAACAGGCATCCGAGTACCAAATTCCTGAAATACGTGAAGGCGGCATGTGATACTCACAGTGATTTAGTCTCTAATAAACAGCAACACATTCACGCATTGAAAAATTGGAAATCTTCCTCCGTTTTGTCTCCTGACAAGAACGTCTGTGGGAGCTGAAAAGAAAGTCTGCAGAAACTCCTTGGGAAGTAGCAGCTCTGTGCAGCTGGCTATTTCTGGAGACACAGCAACACTACCTTAGCAGATACCTAAATACAAATAGCTAGAAGTTAAATGGGGTGTTATTTTTACTCTTGTGGTTTACTGCTTGGTAAAGGAAACAGGTTAAACTTCCAAGGCAAGAGAACAGTAAATTCAAATAGCTGGCTTGTCGCAGTCATTATCAATTAAACAAAATGCCTCCAAGCTCTTTGCCTCATCTTAAGTCTGCACTATGACATTAGAGGAGTTTCCCACACTTGGAAGCTTACAATGTACCCTCACCCAGCAAGGAGTGGATTTTGGTAGACACAGACTCTTGCTTCCATCATCTGAAGGCATGGCCTACGGAAAAGGAAGGCAGTTCCTGAAGATACAGCATTCGCCTCTCAAAATCATGAGAGAGCAGTCCAGGAAAGCCCATGGTCCAAGCCTGCCCTTTCAGGTTGACAGCCTGAAAATACTAAGAAAACCCCCCTTTATTTACAGTTGCCTAAGGCATGCATCACAGACCAGACAAATGAAGAATGACGTTTCTATACCTTAGTACTGAATCACTGGGCCTTGGTATTCACACTAACAGCATTTGTACAGCCATAGACAGCACAACCTGATACTGTATGGTGTCGTGCTGCTGTAATTGCATAGTTTAAAGTCACTGCTGCAAGCTGAGGGAGGTAGTGGGCACAGCTAGCTGTGGTCAGGTACCAAGTTGCAGGAATGGCAGTACATTTTACTTTGGTGTAATGTAGACAAAAGCTTGGATACAGTTTATTTTCTGTGCTATCTCAGTGCACGGAATGAGAAAAATTAAAGTTATGTAAACATCTTCATTTTTCTAGATTAAATATAATGGGAAACTCTTGTATTCAACCACAACATTGCTGAGAAAAAAATTCAGGTAAGAGCTTTCTCTTAACCTGGTAAATGAACTGTATTCAGCTACAGACTGAGATTACTTGTGTTGTTCGAAAGAACCACACTTCTGTGGCAACTGAAATCAAAGTTGCAAAATAGATTATTCCTTTTAGAGACACAGATTACCTGAGAACTTCATTTCACAACTTTTTTTTGTTGTGCCATCCCAAGCAGCCCATCATTCTTCCTCATATTCCTCAAAAAAAAAAAAAAAAAAATAGCCAAGAAGAAAAGAACAGAGTGCAAAGGATCATTTTAAAACATAGACCAGTTCCTTGGTCCAGGCTCACCAACAGCCCCCACTGTGAGCTAGATCATAGAATCATAGAATGGTCTGGGTTGGAAAGGACCTTAAATATCATCAAGTTCCAACTCCCCTGCCATGGGCAGGGACACCTTCCACTAGATCAGCAGTACTGAAGGAGATGGAGATGAGGCACTGAGAGCAGGGCTGCCCAAGGACCTTTTATGGTATTACCAATACAGTGTCTATTTACTTGCCCAGGCTGCACCCTCTTTATTGGCTTTTTCACTTTAGCATCATCGGATGCACCTAAATCATGTATATTAAATACCCATTAAGCTGACTGGAGCTGTACAATTTTCTTATTGTATTTTAAAAAATGCATGATGAAATACATTTTTTTTTTCATTTGGGATAATAAAAAAAGTTTCACTTTATAGGCAATTTAAAGCTTCTTTCTCATGTGTAGAATTGGTTGGACAAAGGGAATGGGAATCTGCTAGCAGAGAATTTTATTCCTGAATTTTCATTTTTAATTCCCTATAGCTTTTCAGAGACCAAAAGTTGTGTTCAGCCAGTGCCAGAACTCTGGCTGTTCACATGAGTTCAGAGGTTTTAGGACAAATCCTCAAGGATTCTTGCATCAGACACAAAAACTCCTCAGCACCGATGTTCTTTTTCCACTATTGCAGAGCCAAAATGAAAGTTTCAAAAAGCTCCGACAACCTTATCACACCAGAAAGCAGCAGAATGAGGGAACTTCCCTTGCAACTGTCGTGCAACATCCTGTTTTGTGTCCAGAAAACTTAATTTCAAAGGTTCCAGCCCAGCATCTTTTCGAAGTAATAAAAGCCTGAATCAAAAAAAAACCCCACCCAAAAACACAAACAAAAAAACTCCCCACCCCAAAAACCCAAACCAACCCACAAAAAAAAACCCAAACCACCACCACCACCCAAAAAAAACCAAAACCCCAAGAACTTGCTCATAAACGACACCAGTACTGAAGACAAATCTTTTTCCTAAATTACTTGCTTAAGGATTAAACTGACAGTTCAGACGTCTAAAGTAAAATATATTGATAGAGGTGTGTTTAAGAATGGAATACTTTGGGATCTTACAGGTAGAAACATCTTATTGAAATCAACAAAAGCACTGGAGAGTTGCTTGAACCTTAATAAAAGGTGCTTGGCTCCCTGTAGAGCTTTCATAAAGACTCAGCCTCATGCTGATGCAACAGAAAATTAAAAGCATTTAGACTTTCCCATCCTTGGGCCATACACAGGACCTGCCTAACTCAAAGTGGCTGAGCCTGGAGTTTCCTTTTGGCATGGGTAACCTGGAAGCACAGGAAACATTCAGCAGTTCACACCAAGGGAACGTGGCTCCCTAGCTAGTAAAACTTTGCTACAATGGATAAACAGGCTGCATGCACATAACCCATGCAAAGAGTTAAAAAACTTACAACGGACTTTACAAATTATCATTTCTTATCAGCCTAAACTCCTACTTACAACGAAAGTAATTCACCGCCACAGAGGACTTCAGTAGTTCACAGACTTGTCCTGTGGCTCAAAAATAATATGTAGTCTGTACAAAGTCGCTTTCATCTAGTGTGAACAAACATGCCAGCTAATACAGCTGCATATCGATCAGACTGGCTTACAGGCAGCTAAAAGTACATGCACTTTTTTTTTTTACTAATGCAAAGACACACCATAGCTTGCAAAACCTCATTAATGAATTTGTAGCAGAAACAGAATTCATATTGCTGTCACTTAATTAGTCACCAAAGAAAAACATTTTTTCCATTTCAACACTCATGATTATATTTATCAAAACCTTAGATAACTTCCATTTTGTAACAGACATTATATAAGGGGTTTTTTTGTTTAATTTACAGGAATATGAAATTCAATGTTTATTATAATAAGCAATAGAAAATTTTAGCTGCCTCTACTGAAACAGAAGCTAGGTGCAATCTGTAATAGATGCTTCCATATCAACTTCCTTATAAATCAGAAAAAAAAATCCCAACCCTCCCACAAGAGAAATCATCTTCTCTTCGCATCAGAAATAACATTGGCTTTTTTATTGACTCTGTGAGTCAGATCTCTCAAGAGACTCTTAGCTAAATATGTCACTATTTTCATTAAATATGATTTAAACAATAAAGTTAATTGCTGAATTATCAGTAGTCTGCAGATTTAGACATTCAATCCAAATCTTAGAAGTTGTAAGAATACCCCTAAATCAATCTGCAGAGAAAAATGGTACTTATGGCTGGCAACAAGTTATTATTTGAGTGGGTAGTGAAAAAGAGATACTTGGTAATGGTTTTTCAATAACTATCATACCATTACATAGATAGATGCTATAGCCTACCATATGGCACTGCTTTGGTACTATACATAATTTCATTTCCCATAAATCATACAACTGAATTAAGGACTTTTTTTGTGCAAAATCAAGTCAGATCTGGACCTGTATGTACTTATCTTCTTGCTCTGACTGAATTTACTTTAATGAAAACCATCCTACTGCAATGGAAATAATACTTCAGGTTTGATGGAGAGAGGGAGGGAGGGATGGTAAAGTAGGGTTTATTATTAATCTACTACTAAAGACTAGATATGCAAAACATGCATTTCTTCCACTCCACAGGTATAATGCTCACAGGTTTTTATAATAATCTCAGTAACAGAGTAAAGATCTTATTTTCTAATCAGATTTTAAAAATAAAAGTTGCCCATCTAGAGTTTTTGTTATAGCTACCAATTTATTTTGCAGTTCACATCTGTCATGGTTTAACCCCAGCCAGCAACTAAGCACCACGCAGCCGCTCACTCACTCCCCCCCCCACCCAGTGGGATGGGGGAGAAAAATCGGGAAAAGAAGTAAAACTCGTGGGTTGAGATAAGAACGGTTTAATAGAACAGAAAAGAAGAAACTAATAATGAGAATGATAACACTAATAAAATGACAACAGTAGTAATAAAAGGATTGGAATGTACAAATGATGCGCAGTGCAATTGCTCACCACCCGCCGACCGACACCCAGCCAGTCCCCGAGCGGAGATTCCCCGCCCCCACTTCCCAGTTCCTAAACTAGATGGGACGTCCCATGGTATGGAATACACTGTTGGCCACTTTGGGTCAGGTGCCCTGGCTGGGCATGAGAAGCTGAAAAATCCTTGACTCTAGTCTAAACACTACTGAGCAACAACTGAAAACATCAGTGTTATCAACATTCTTCACATACTGAACTCAAAACACAGCACTGTACCAGCTACTAGGAAGACAGTTAACTCTATCCCAGCTGAAACCAGGACAACATCCTAATGGAGAAAAAGCCTACAGCTCTAGGATTCAGTTTTGTACCCCATTCTGTTTGCCAGTTTTAGAGAAGACTTCGGTTCATATCTTGTTTCTGTTAAAGTCAATGTGAGTTTTGTGGTTGCCTCCAGTAGGGCTAAGGCGAGACCATTATATACCTCTGTTATCTTTGACATAAGCAAGGATGCAAATCGGAGCAGTTGGAAGCACACTGGAGCGTTGCATACATCTGCAGCACTCCTAAATGAAGCCATTTTGCGCTTCAACACAATAATACTAGGTAGACATTAAAGACATCACACTGGATTTACTCTTTATCTTTCCCTTTCTCTCAACTGATCTATTTTTCGTGCTAAACACCTGCTAAAAAGCTGTCAAAGGTGCTTAATGACACATATTTAAGTAAAGTACAGTACATTCATCTGAGCAGAATTAATTTAAGTCAAGGACTCGGCATCTGTTCAGTTCGGTTTTTTCTGGGGATTGAATGATTATGGGCAAGCAACACCGAAGTACAACTTATTGATCAAATGTACCCTCAGTCCCTCAGTGCCTTACCGTGTCTCTAAATACTGCCTTGTGTTTCCATTACAGACACGTTCGACCTGAACTTCTCAGGTACTGTTTTTACCTTTAGTTTTGAAAATCAGAACAATTTCTTTCTGCAGGTAGCAAGTCTCCAGGTCAGTACGGTGAGAAGAGGATCACTTATCCTCGGTAGGATAAGAGGATCCTTCGGTAGGAGGAGCTTCACTTCTGGAATGGCTGGATGAATTTCAGGGACACGTTTATCAGTGGTATAATACACATGCCTTCCTCTTAAATCAGGGAAATCGTGCCTGCTTACACACAGTGAATTTAACTTTGTGCTCAAGTGACCTTTTTTCCTAACAACAGGCAATATCACAGAGGAGGCCAGTTTGCCT